ATTATGCAATGGACGTCTCTTTAAAGGATCTTACTCTTTCGTCATCTCCTCCTGCTACTACTAGTTGTACAACCGATAATGTCAAAAATAGGGAGAGTTTAAAATCACCCATATCTTACCTACAAGTTGCTTATGTTTCTACAGAGTATGATGATGAAGCTTCTGCATCTCTTGATCAAGATGAAGAAGGATTTCTAGAACTTGGCTTTCTTGGTAACTATCTTCACACTGCCATTTCTCTTGTTGTGGTTTTCCCATCAGATTATCAGGCTGAGGGAGAGTCTCGACCTCAGGGGAGCAACATGATAAAAGTGATATTGAATCAAATAATAATCAGCCTCTATCTAAAATGTGCAAGGTTACAAAGGTCTATCAAGTTTATGCTGAAATGGGAGTGTCTAAAGAAGATGCTAGAGTTATTACTGCTGAGCATAATGTTGTTATACATGACAATGTTCGTCTAAGAAAATCAACTCCAAAATTTGCGTCTTCTAATAACTAATTGGCTGATAATATGGCTGCAATCAAACATTTTGATGTTGGGGTTGAAAAGAAAAAGATATTCTCACAATGATTGGTCGTTCCAAGTATGATGAAGTTCTTCATAGAATATTCTATTTAAATCCTATTGTGAAAGTTAGGTGCTCAAAACCCAAAGGAGAAAGAATTCCCACTGTACACCTGATCAGAAGAGATTCTAAAGGAGAATACCCAAAAAAGATTCCTGTATGTAATCTTGTTAGATATGGATATAGTGAATGGTTAGAAATTTAAGCGATCATCAAAAGTCATAAAGGTATTCATGCACAAGAATTGAAGTTGGCTATCATGTTAATGATCATCAAAGTCAGGAATCTCAATTTGGTTCCCAACCTGATGCATTGTCTATGCCCATTATTTCATTCTATGCTAGATCTGAAATAAGGTGCCAACATTCAAGGTTCTTACTCCTCTATGGGACTACCTACATCAACAATTCCCTTCCAATAAATTTTGAGTGCATTCAACATATTTTCATAAAAGACCCTAAACATGGATTGTTCTACATTGATAATAATGATCATATACGCTTCAAATGGTCTATTGATCTTCACAAAGCTCCTACTTAACATCTTTTTCATCAGAGACTAGGATACAAAGGAGAACCTAAAGTTGATTTTTATAATTGGATATCTCTTATAAGCTAGACAAAAAAAAAGAGATGAATTGGCTTGTAATAATCAACAATAGATTAAACCAGATATCATTTCAGATGTTGAAAAGGTTCTTTTTCAAGATATTATGGAATAGGTTTTGACATCATCAGATTGGGGGAGATTGTAGGGTCAAACCTTATAGTCAGATGAATCAAACATTTATCATGTTAAATACATCATCAGCATCAACATATTGTAACGTTGATTAAGTTTCGGAAATAGCATGATATGTTTCTTGTTACTTAAGTCTTTTGATCCGTTATCTTTGTGATAAGATCCATTTTGTACAGTGTGTAGGTGTGTGTGTGTCTATATATATATATATATATATATATATATATATATATATATATATATATATATATATATATATATATATAATATGGTAGTTATCATAGTTATTTAAATCTTTGATATGTAGGGATTTAAATCTAGAATGGTCGTCAACCTAGTATATAAGTTACACTAGGTTATGATGTAAATCAACGCTCTGTGCACTCTCGCTTTGTAAGAGATTTTCTTAATCAAAATTGGTTTTTGATTAACTTTCTTCATGTTCTTTACTTTGTTTGATATTAACTATTCAATTCTCGATCCTTCGGGAACAATACGAGAGTTATGAGTCCCTGTTATTGATGGAACGAAACATGATCTGTGAGTCCTTGTTGATGACGGAACGACACGAGAGTTGTGAGTCCTCATTATATGAGGTTGATATAACGACATGAGAATCATGAGTCATTCTTTGTATGTATTGTGGTTTGTGGTATTTTAGGGAACTCACCAACCTTTATGCTTACAGTTGTTGAGTTAATGTTTTCAGATAGTTCTAATGTTGACTGTACCATATTTGCATCATTGTTGATTTATGTTTTTGATTGCTGCTATTTTTATTATTATGATACGGTTTATGACTTGAATTTACGGTTTTGAAACAATTGGATACTTAGGTTTTATGAGAAATAGTTTTGGATGTTTTACTTAAGCTTTAAATGAAAATTTGAGACAATACAAGGTAAAAAAGAATAGTATCACATAATGCTTGTTGAAGGGTTTGCATGTTAGGTTGCATTTGTGTTCCAGGGTCTTTTTTTAAAGAGAAAATTTGAAGGGACGTGGAAAGAAAGAGGGAAAAAATCATGTTCTCTAGTTTTTTTAATGAAAGGAAGTTGTATGAAGAGAAATCGTGATTTTTGATAAGCTTTCCCTTATAATTTTCCAATCAAAAGTGGAAAGATTTTGAGATAAAACAATTCAATAAGAATATAAGGATTTGTCATTTATCGATTTTTACCCATCAACCTAATATAAAAAAGATTACGTAGCTTTGATAATCATGATTTTCTTCATCGCTTCTCATGTACCTTGTGTTCTACATCGTCAAACAACTTTATTTCTCTCATTTCTTTTGAACTTGGGAACAAGTAATATAATGGGTAAATTACACCAATCGTCCCTCTTGCATATGTCAAAAAGTGTGTTTAGTCCCTATTTTAAAAAATTAACTCGGACCGTTCCTTAGATTGTTTTTTCTTCCACGCTTAGTCCCTCCGCACATAAAAATACCATTTTTCCCTTGTTTATTTTTTTTATTTGTTTATTAATTATTAATAAGTAATCTATGAAAAAATTGTTTAATTAAATATAAACACTACCAGCACCATTATTATCTCTTATCTTCATAATTCTCAACTCCGACAACTACCACTTATCACCATCGTTAACTAATACCCATCACCACCAGAAACCACCATATGTCACTCTTATTTCACTCCCACCTCCTGCCATCATCTACCTCTAGCCACAAGCCACCTCTAATGCCTCTACCTATCACCGCTAACACCTCATGAACAATCTCTAGTTGACTACAACTAGAAACGACCATCTACCACCACTTAACCAAACCAAAGCAAACTTAAAACCCTAGGTGACATTCGAAACCCTGGGTGATGGTGTTAAAGAAACCTCAGATCGGAACCCAAAACCAGATACAGTGAAGGCGGTGATTTTCTAACCCTGAGACGATGAAGGTTCAAAGCAACCCACCTATGAGACAAAAACGGTACACATCATCCTCCATATTTGTGATCTTTGACGAACTACCACCTTCGTCTCCCGATTTGATAGTCCATCGAACCACCGATTCGAGATCCGCAAAGTTCAACGAACATGTTTTTAGGCGAATAGGTAGTGATAATGAATGTGTAGATTTGAGATGGTGTAGATGTGATATCCTCATTTTCACGGCTAGAAAAGACCGATTAGTTTATTCTTTATTTTAACAATCAGAGTATCCTTTTAAAGAAAAGTGTTGTGGAATTTGTCCCCAGAAAACATGATAAAGATATTATCAAAGCATTTTCGAAAAAATGTATTTTGTTTATATTAAAACTTTGGGATGTCATCATCAATACATAAACATAAGCATAAACAGACCTTACACTCATTTACACTAGTGATTTACATCTCTTTTAATCTATCAGTGTAATGTATCTTTGTATCGACACCTATGATCCAAATAAACTGAGTGGGTCAGATTAGGAAACCTAGTGAGTATGTAGGGTTTTTAACCCACAATAATATAAGGGGGAGTTTGTTTTGCATAATGTTTTTAAAAGGAATGGAATTTATCAAATGAATTGGAATCTTGAGGAATTGGAATCTGAATGTACTAGAAATTTAAATGTTTTGGTTAACATGGAATGAAATCTGTTTTCTGTTTGGTTTGTTGATTTCCCATAGGAATTGGAAAATAAGTTTTGTAATATGACAAAAATACATTTTTTACTGATTTCTTGTAACTTAATTATACTTTTTAATAAACATAACAAAGTTTTATTTAACTACAACAGTTTTTTATTAAACTCTTCTATAAAATATAAATTAAAAAAATAACTAACATGTATTTCGTCGAACACAATATCATAAAAACATTTTTAAAAAATTGATACAAAATGATTATATATATTAATATAAAGCAACAAATGTCATTCGTTATTTCAACCTAAAATATATATATATTTTTTTTAAAAAGGAATACAAAAAAGGTAACCACACACTATGTAAAATAATGTCTAAATACCTAGTTCATAATCATATCAGTCTTCCAATATGAACCTCACAAAACCCTCTCGATCTTCTCTTTCCAAATTCCAAAAACTTAAAACGGTTTCCGGATCACGCATTATTTTCCTACTTGCTTTGAACCTATCCAAGGCACTTAATGATTGCATTTTTGAAATTTCAGTAATCACCATTGAAGCTTTTTTGTACTTCATTTTCTTCTAGTATTGCTTGATTCATACTATTAGCTGTTTTTTCAAGCTTTTCTCCAAGGACATTAGCTGCAATAGTTATTCCCTTAATAAGGGCATCAACTCTTTTTATTTTCTTTGAGCATATGTTTGGAGATTCTTCATTTTATGTGGTTTGTTCTCCAAAACTATCTTCTATTTGTCTTGATTGTTCTTCATTATTTGCATATTCGTCCATTTGAGCAAAATCTTTGGCTTTATTCCCTTAAAGTCTATCCTTTCCAAAAATGATACATAAATCCTCGTAATGAGGAAATATCTTATTTCTCCATTTTCCTGCCTCTTTATGAACCTATTTTGTATCATAAAAGGTTAACACATAAAAAATATAATATACATAACTAAGAAGTAACAAAATATATAAAAGTTTTAATATTGTACCCTGTATGTAAGAATCCCAAACCGCTGGTTCAGCTGTTACAGAATGAGTGGATGTATCATAACCAAATCCACTTGTGTTTGTACCATTCACCATATCATAAACGACTTGTCAATCCTTTTTCATGGTTTTGATCCTTGACTCAATGTGGGGTTTACCCAATATGCTAGAGCTAGGAATTTTTTCCTTCAATGTGTTTTCTAGATGTTGTAAATATCCAAATTTAAAACCATTATCGGCTTTAAATCCTCTCATATTCACCATATTTACCAATGCTTCCACGAGCTTCGCATCTTCAGTTATTGTCCGGTTGCAATAGTTTCTGCTTTTTTCCATCACACCTACTATTGTAAACATAAAAATGAGATTAACCAATGCATGCATAAAAAAATACCCAACCATATATATAACAAAGATAACTAGAAAAAAACAAATTAAACTTCATTATTGGAGTTAACAAACATAACACATATTCGTTCATAGTAAATGATAAACGTAACAAAATGAGAAATGACCAATGTGTAGTATTCCAAAAATCAAACATAGTTTGCGCTAAGTTGTTTCTAAATGTAGTCCACTCGGTTGATACACCAACAGAAGTGATATTATCATCGTCTCCATCTCCGACATCTCGAGTTCCCTCGTCTAGTTCAAAGCGGTTCTTGAATGGATCAATTGTCATTTCCTGCCTTATATAATTATGAAGAAGACAACATGCCATTATGATCTTATTTTTTAGATCAATAGGATAATATGAGGTGTCCCTTAAAATTCTTCATGTTGCCTTCAAAATACCAAAACGTCTTTCTATAACATTTCTTGCAGATGAATGTCTCATGTTGAATATATCTTTAGGTGTAGTTGGTTGGTGTCCAGCACGCCAATCATTTAAATGATATCTTTGACCCCTATATGGGGCTAAGAAACCTTCACCATTTGTATAACCTGCATATACCAAATAATAACCTATATATGTAGTATAGTTAGTATAACTATAATTAACAACAAATACATATCTATAATACTAATTATTGTACATACCCGGTCTCGAGACCTTCAATCCATGTGGCCTAAGTAAGGCATCTCGAAGCACTCTACCATCCGCAACTGAGCCCTCCCATCCCGATAAAACATAGATAAATTGCATATCTTGTGAACACAACCCTAAAACATTTGTGGCAATATCATTTTTTCTTGTCCTGTATTTAGGCTTGTCTTTAAGTGGCACTAAGCACTTTATGTGGGTTCCATCTAAAGCTCCTAGACAATTCTACACGATATATAAAAAGAAATGGTCATATGCCATATCAAGCAATTTGCGTACTTATTGAAAATTTTATAAATAGTGCTTATACCTTGAACCACTTCCATCTTTGATATGTAGAGTTTTCTGTAACAGGTTCGGGTTTCTTAAGCAAATATGGATGCAACCTTATCACCGCATTGCAAACTCCTGTAACAATTTTGCTAACTGTTTCACCAGAACGCTGGAAAATACCTATCATGACCTGATTCTTCACATTATGTGCAATAATGTGAAGAAATATGGCCATTTCTCATCAATATCCATATGTCTACTTGTTCTTAACCCACTTAATGTGTGAAGCATGTCACACAACTTTGTGAAACATCTTCGGGTCATCCTAAGGTGTGATATGCATGTAGTATCGCTTTTGTAAGCGTATTTATGCAATATTGCTTGTCGATCCACATTCGACGATATGTTTTTGATACGTGGTTTATCCCCCATATATATTTGTAGCAACTTGCACATCGTGATAAAAAACCATGTAACGGTTGTCATAAATTCATTCAAAAATGTAACGACTATTTGACTTTTTTTCTATGTTTGCTTCTAATTAGAATAAGGCGTGCCATTTCCTGCTCATCTCCCACAAAAAGAAAATTATTCACTTCAAAATACGTAATATCATTACTTTACTCGTCAAGTAATGGTCGCATTGTACAAAACAAACGGTGTTCATTATTACAACTTGCTCAAACATTAAAAATAAATGTCAAATATGTTCATTTTTGCATCCACACAAAACCAAGTTTAATCTTTTTACACAGAAAACCCTATGAAAAAATTATAGTTAATAAATAGATCATTCATTTTAGAACAAAAATTATTGTAGTAAAAAAGTAAAATATCATTACATAAATAAGCTCATTTTGGTTGAAATTGGATTTGGAGCTTATTTATGAAACTAATTAGAACAAAGAAAATATGCTTTAATAAATTATGGTTTATTTAACTCACGATGAGAATGTAGAGAGAAAGAAAAACAAAGGTGGCAGAAAAGTGGAGAAAAAAAAAAAAAAGTGTATATACCTTAATATTTTAAAGAAAAAACAAAAGTGAAAGAAATATGTAAATAAAAGTTTTACTGAAAGAAAACTTCAATAAATTAAGGTTTCTTTCACAATGTTTGCAATTTTACGTTTTTGAGTTCTACAATAAAACTAGTTACAAATTTTGTCTAAAAATCCATTTTAACCAATGAAATAACTCCCAGCCATTATAAAAACCAATCTTCTTCTTTACATAAACTTTGTAAAAGTCAAATATAATTGACTTGAAAGCATCAAACGGTAATAGAAACGATAAACAAAATTAAATCAATAAAAAAACATCAAATAACAGTAATAAATGTCTTCAAATGTGTTGTTGTCTCATTTTTTCAAAGTAAAAAAGCATAAGTCGTTAAAGGAATGAACACCAAAAGTTAATGTGGACAACTAAAAATTTACCACAGAGGCAAAAACACAAACTGTTGGTGTACGTATTTATAAAAAGAGTAATTGCACAACCCAACAACAAATCCAAACCAAAAAATTTACAACTCGTATACTTGAATCAACAAATTTGATACTTTTTCCAAAGAAACCATAGATGAAGTACAATAGCATAGATATAAATATAATATGTTAATTTTCTATCGAGCAAAGATGAAAAAACAAACGAAAAATGTATAAATCAATAGTAAGACACAATTGATTGTAGAAAAATAGAAGGATTTGGGAGGCTTACTTGTAAATAGAGACAATTCAACAAAGAACAAGAACAATGATGAACCACAGAAAATACAGGAGCATAGTAGCATTGATCGATAGATGTAATCTCTTGGAAAATGTCGAATGAAGAAATATACAATAGATGAGGATGTAATCGTAGAGAAGATATGAAAATCAAAGATATGATTTTTTTTCATGCATAGATAATAGGAGGAAAGTTGTGTAATTTAAAACAAAAGATAAAGAATTGAATTTAGAATTTTCTTGGACGATTGAAGAATTGGAAATCTTTCAAATAAGGAAAAATTGTTATTAAGGAAATCTAATTCCATTCGTTTGATCAGCCAAACATGTTTTGCTCTTGATTTTTGTTTCCAATTCCTTTTAATTCCTTAGGAATCATGTGAAACAAACACGTCCTAATTATTATGTTTACTCATCAAACAGCCAACCCAATTACCCATCCTCATTATCTTCTTTATTCTTAAAGATCTACCCTAAGAATCAGTTATCATTCGTTTATTCATTCCAAAGGATTATCCTAAGGAATAGGCCTGAAGTCCATCGCTACCAGGATTTATATAACATGAACTAAGTTCATAGCTACCGATGTTAGACACAGTTGTCAATGTTCTTTCATGAGGCGCTAAGTCCATAGTTGTTAGGGTTTTTAGAATACATCTGGTGAACACATAATTCTAAAGTTAGGCACAACTGCCAATATTATCCATTGGGCGCAGCTGCCAGGATATTTATAGCTCATCTGGTGAACACGTCGTTCACAACACTTATGGGTTGCGAGTCTGCTAGTTTTCCACTGGATTATCTAGAATAGTCAATGGTTGTCATATATACTCTGCTAGATGATTGTGCCAACGTGTGGGTCAAGGCTTCTCGTTATCTTACACCCCTCATTGTCTATATCATATTTCACCACTCGCCTTTTTACATCGTGGCGCAGCTACCAATATTCATCTATATCATCTATCATTCCTCATCATTTATCTACCCATGTTCTACCTAACATATTCGTAGATATAAAATCATATACAGTTTAAATCATTTAAAACATGCACACATAGCATGTAATTTATATTAAATATTTAATATCTATGTGTAAGATGAAAGTAACTATGTTGTAATTTATATTAAATATTTGGGTCAAGGTTTCAAACTTGGATAACGCTTCGCTTCTTAACAATATAATTTCCTTTGTTGAAACCTAGTATTATTACCACTAAATTTTACTCTAATATTTATCGCGACTAATTACGAGCGATTTTAAGTGTTAAACAATACTTTTCAACCAGTATGTACAGACAGGGGTCAGACATAAAACATCGGAGGGCAGGACCATTTTGACATATAGCACTTCTGAAATCCAACAACCCTATGCGTCCCTTTAAACCAGATTCTCCGTACCGTGAGTAGTTAAAAAATATTATAATAACACTTTATGTTTCATATATATATATATATATATATATATATATATATATATATATATATATATATATATATATATATATATATATATATATATATATATATAGTTTATAAGTTCATAATAATAACGATAATAAATTTAAAAATAACCTATACTTAAAATAGGGTAAACATAACTTACTTACAAGAGGGATTTAGCTAGGAGTCGGACTTTGCAGTGACAAAACTTCGTCGCTGAATATTTCTAAAAAAAATTATTGTAGCGCTTCAGCGCTCACCTTACTATACTAAAACTACAGAAATAGAAGTCAAATCACAATGGACCGAAATATTGGAGGGATAAGAAGAGAATGACTCTTGAATCAAAATAATGATGCAAAAAATATGAGAGTTTAGAGACTCTTATTTATAGAAATTGAATTTTCAAAAACTATCATCTATAGTTACTTAATGACCTTATAGTTATTTAAATGACAAAGCACTCATTTATAATATTTTTTTTAAATAGATTTAACGATATTTGTATTAAACTAATGTCGAAAGTACTCAACACTAATCTTATAATAACCGCATCATCGATACCTTTCTAATGATATATATATATATATATATATATATATATATATATATATATATATATATATATATATATATATATATATATATATATATATATATATATATATATATATATATATACACGTAAATATGCTATTAAAAATTATAACTCGTTCATACGAACTCCGTTTTTGACATTCTTTATATCCACACGTAACTATCAACGAGATCCACAACTTTCAGTTAGACTCTGTCGGCTAATTTTGAAATTATATTTTTTTCCATATTTTTATAAAATTAAATGATTTTGCTAAAATCATAACTTTTTCGTACGAACTCTATTTTTGACATTCTTTTTCTCAAAGTTCTTATTTTAAGGAGTACTATGATTTTCTTTTTGGTCACATTAGCTAAGAGTCAACCATTCTCTTCATAGCTTTTTACGTTATATGTGCGCGACTGACTTTTATATCTTATAATAATCATGAAACATATAATATTTACATAATTCTTCTTTATTAAATCAAATAGGTTACAATTGTTGACCATAACTATTACTTTGGTTAAGATTATTTATCCTATATAATAAAAAAAATCACTTTTAATGCTTATTATTAACTAACCCGAATCTGCGGCTGTTACAGTAGATCCGAAACAAATAAGGTTTTCAAGAAAAGAAACAGTCACGAAGATGAAGGCGATTGCGACGGAGACGATAATGTGTAGATCTGATGAAGAGGCCACGTTCTCCAGCGGCAATCACGACAACGTGACAGTTCCAAAGAAGATGAGGCATTTGTGAACAATGAAGCTTTTGATGGTTGTGGAGACGAAGATTCAGTTGGTTTTTCAAGGTTTTAGATAAAGATATGAGACGGTGGTAGGTGACAGCGGCACACCAGAGATAGAGATTTTGGTGGTGTGTAACACCCCGTTCCTGGTACGTATTTAATCCACTAAATGTCCTTTTTGCAACGAGCTAGTCGACGAGTTGGTAGCCCTAACTCGTCGAGTAGATGCCAGCTTGATCGCGGGGTTTAAGTGGTCTACTCGACGAGTCGGAGCATGGACTCAGCGAGTACGTCCATCAGGAGGAAACCCTAATTCTCAGGGTTGCACCCTATTTAAGCATCATTTCAACCCCCTATCCCAGCCTCCATTACCTCTACTCCCTGACCTCGAAACCCTAAGTAGATATTAAGTGTTCTTAAGCTTTTCTTGCCATTTTTGTGTGTTTTGGAAGCTAGAAGAAGGAAGGAAACCCTTGGTGATTCAAGAAGAGGCTGTAGATCCAGAGCTAGTGTTGCATTTCAGAACCTTTGAAGGTATAAAGCTTATACCTTGGTTCCCATTCACTTAGATCTTCTTATAGACTTGTTATTTGCACTTTATGGGTCCTTTCCAAGGTCATTCCGAGATTTGATCTTTGGGGAATGAAAGGACTTCAGATATGGACATTTCTGAGCTCTAGAAGCTCAAAGTTGCCACCTTTATCCAGCCATGACTCCATGATATAGTGTAGGCCTTCATTTTGGCTTGAAATAAGTGTTTTAGCTTCATAATGTCATGCATGAACATAAAGTTAGCAATTTTACATGTAATTCTAGTCTAAGGAGCCCAGATCTATGATTTAGAAGCATTGGAATCATTAGAATCAACTGTATGGATTGAGCATGCAAGGAACTCGCCGAGTTGTTCTTCGTACTCGGCGAGTCGGGTCGAGTCCCCTAATCTTTTCTAGTTGTGAGTGAGACCTTTGAGCTGAGAGGGAAGGGGAATGACTCAGTAAGTTGAACAAGATTAGGACCAGGGAGCTAAAGGACTCGACGAGTCCAAGGAAGGACTCAAAGAGTAGAGTCGAAATATCCCAACGATTATTGCTGACAGAACCCGACGAGTCAGTGGAAGGACTCGACGAGTTGACTCAGTAGACCATGAGTTAGAACATTTCAGAGACTCGTCGAGTAGGAAGAATGACTCGACGAGTTGAGTTGACTGGGGGTGACCTTGACTTGACTTAAACCAGAGCATTGATTTTGATTAGGGGTAAAATGGTCATTTACCCTAGGAAGGAGTTTCAGATGTTGATTATGTATTATTGTGTTTTGATAGCCGGAGAGATGCTGAGGCAGTTACCGGATATTCCTCACCGTGAAATTTCACAGTCAGCTTTACAAGGTGAGTTTTCCTTTAGTAGGAACGAGTCTAAGGCACCAATGCTGACCCGTTTAAGTAGTAGAGTATGTTGGGGTTAGCCCAATGCAGTCTATATGTTTCCGGAATTCGGTCCGATGTCGGGGCAGTCCCGAGAAGTAGTTATGTATGCTTGATGTCTTTGTGATTCATGCATCTTTATGTGTTATATGTTATGTCTTCCGGGGTAAGCCCAATGCCAGGGCAAGCCCGATGTATGTTAATCATTATGCCATATATTATGTATTCGGAGCAAGCCTGATGTATGCTAGTTTATGTGTTATATGTTCCGGACCTCGGTTCGATGCCGGGGTAAGCCCGATGCAGTTTATGTGATTATGTTATGTGTTTATGATATGTGTTATGTTGAGTATGTGTCGGGTTAAGCCCGATGTCAGGTTAGCCCGATACCCGATGTTGTCGGATGTCGGGGTAAGCCCGATGCCCGATAGGAGTCCGATGCTGGGATTCGTCCCGATGCAGTTGGGAAGAGTCCCAGAGTTATGTGATTTGTTATATGTGCTTTGTATGGTATGTGGTAGTTTGGGGGAGCTCACTAAGCTTCGTGCTTACAGTTTCAGTTTTGGTTTCAAGTACTTCAACTAGTAAAGGGAATGGCTCGAGCTGATGACATGGCACACACCACAGTTGATTAGCCTGGGAGCTTACTCAAATATTTGTTATGAGACTGTTATATGTTTTTCAGATATTATGAGTTTTCGAGATACATGTTTTATGGTTTTACACTATGGCAATGATATTTATGTTTGATAAATTATTTTGAAAATGAAATTTTAGGTTTGTATTTTTGAGATGTTTCATGATGGTTTAAATATACGGTGGTGGTGGTGAATATTCCTGATGATGGTATATATATATATATATATATATA